CTGCCTCTTCGTCATCATTTGCTATACGGACTGATTTAGTCTTTGATTTCCTTTTCTGGACAGGGGCGACTGCTATTGGTTTTGGTTGTTCTTCTGGCTCCTCGATGGTTTGTGTGGACACGGTGCCGGTTGGTTTATTTCTTTCTCCCTCTGACTCAGCTGTGGTTTGGGTGGACGTGGTGCCTGCGGATTTGGTCCTTCTCTCCTCCCCCTGACAGTGCTGTACCATGTCAAGTAGTGTCCGGTAGGCAGTGGCCAGGGCCCAGCAGGTTGCTGTGAGCTGGCCATCTCTGGAGCTGCCAGAGCATTTTTCCTTCACCAGTCTTATCATGCTAACAGGATCCTGCAGTTGTTCAGGGGTGAATTTCCAGATCATTGGAGGAGAAAACTTCTCCAAATACTGGCTGATGTCCTCCCACTTCCCGTGCCACTCAGCATTATCTGCTCCCAGGGCAGGTGTCCAGACAACCTCCCTAGAAGGCCCTGTTCTGACCCTAAACATGGTGTACACAGTACAGAGCAGACAGAGCAACACTAACAATAACATTATACTGTCCTTAACATCAAAAGGGAACTCAATATTTTCAAAAACTGTTGTAGCAGGTCTGAAGGGGAAGAAGGAGGTGAGAGGCTGGAAACAACCATCCCCCCCGTTCCCCCAAAGGGCTGGGTACGATTTTTAATGAGGCCCCAGAGGTAGCAACCCAAACCAGGACAGGCAAACAGGACTGAATACACATTTACAATGACTCATTGCTTCTGATGTTAGAATGACATAAACATAATATACTAATAAAGCAATTTGGATCCCTCTCCCTGGTCTTAAAGAGAGCATCAAAACAGGCAAATAATACCCCATCTGTGGAAATATGAACAGGCTCAAATACAACATCCATGTGAATGCATCAAACAACATGGTGATCAGGGAGTTTCTATATCCAAATAGACAAATGCTTAAAGTGAAATTGTGATTCTGACTTCTCTCTCTCTGCCCCACGTTGGGCGCCAAAAATGTGCTGGTTTAAGAGTTAACCAGCAGGGGAAATGAACTCAACTCAAAGGAGAGATTATAAGTCAGAATAACAATTTACTAAAATAATACAGTAAGTACAATCATACAAACAAACAATTGGTCTTAACCCACAAAACCCAAATGTATAACCCAGTACCCTGGGGCATGAACAACGTGGTGTTCCTTGGGCCCCGCTTGAGTCCAAAGTAAAGGGAGAGGGGAAGAACCTGCTGGTGGGAGAGCTGTTGCAGTCTAGTCAAAAGTGGTGATTGCAGTGAGATGCTGGTGGGAGAGCTGTTGCAGTCTGGTCAAAGTGGTGATTGGAGTCCAGTATAGGGTGGTGAGCCAAGTCTGTTTGAGAGCGATGAGCCGCAGTCCTTCTCTGGATCCCACAGAGTGGGTAAAAATGTTCCAAGACTCCAAGATTATATATCCTGCAGTTCAGGCAGGAATGCTCAGCACTTCCCTCAGGGCGGGGAGTTCCACAAAGGGTGTGAGGACAGGAGCATCCTCCTATCTCACAGGCCTCTTAACACCCAGTTTATAGCCTGAGGAGTCAGGCTCTATGGGCAGATGGTGTAAATGGTTCATTGATAACAGTTTCTGGGAAATGGCATGGAAGGCTATAGAATACACAGTTTTGGGTTACACCCATACCCTGATGAACTGGTCTCAGTTGTCCTAACTAGGACACCCCAGTTGATTGGATGGCTAATCACCAGAAAGACAGGACTGGTGGATCAGGTTTTTGCATATCTTTCCCTTGCAGAAGCTTGGTTTATTTTGGCAGAGAGAAACATTATAGATTTCTCCTATATCTGTATATAATTTCTCCTAAAGATTACCGAAGTGACAATGAGACACTGATACCATGTCCTCTGCAGTAATGTCTTCATAATCAGAGACATATTTGTATTAGGAGCCTGCATATTTGCATCTTTCTGTTAATCTTTTCCAATATAGATGTGAACAGAGCAGCTTATCATTCCACTCATTTGTATCTGGTTAAAAGAAATCTTGTTACATAGCAAATAAATTGAAGCTGGCAAATAAATTTCAGCCTTGGTTTACCTTTCCTCTATCTTCAAATAAAATAGTGTGTGTGTGTCTTTCAAATAAAATTATTCATAACTGGGTAAAATAGGGAAAGAAACAAGATTATCTATTAAATTTAGGAAACACTAGTAGCTTTTGTCTCTTAATACAGTAGTTTGCGTCTGGTGGCATTAAGATCTGGATATTTAGTAAAATATTTATCTTATGATATTCCATCCATGAAGAGACAGAAAGTATTCATTATAATAAAATAGAAACAAAATCAGAGGTTGAAATAACCACAAAACAGACATATTAGTTCCCAAATTACCGTAAATTTCAGGCATAAATTTCTATAATATGAAACAGACACTCTCATTTCCTGGTACAGTCTTATAACACAAGGAATTTTAAAAAATGTACATAGAGTGAAATAACTGGAAAATATAATGTCTATTTTACAGGAAGCTCAGATTGATAATTTGTGTTCATTCTGGATCAGATTTAAAAAGAAAAAGGCAAAAAAAAAGTAAAATTTAAGTTCCCCGGACAAAAAAATGGTGGGTGTAGGTGTCAGTGCGAATGCATGTACAAAACAACTTCTCAAAAAACAGAACAGCTATGAGTCAATACTAATGTAATAAAACTCAATAGTGTGATGTGTATTTAAATGAATGCTTTATGAGCAATATTTGGCTGTATAAACAGAATGATAATAGCTTTTTTGGAAAGAAATATTTGAACCTTACTGAAAAATAATTCCCCAGTCAGAATTGTTTCATTTTGGTAGTGCTGAAACAAAGAGAAAAAGATTTTTTTTATCTATAAAAAAAAAAATCTCTATTTTAAGACTGTTTCTATGAAATATCTTATTTTCAGCAACCTACTTGTTATATGATTTCTACTGCATGTAATGAAGAACATTTAATCACTGATGCTACCACTGATATTCATTGGCAAAGATACCTTATGCAGGATATTGTTCCCTCCTATCTGGTCACTGTTACTGCACTATATATATGTGTGCTTAGTCAGCCCTATCGTGAGGCTGCCCAAAGTCTTAGAATGGTACTAGGAACAAAGACCAGCAAGAGAAATGCCAACAGCAGTCCCACAACTCTCGTGAGCAGAAGGCTCTCTGTAAAAGCTGATTTTTATTCTCAGTATACTTACAAACAGCAGTCTTCCTGAAATCAGACTGTCCCAGTGCTCAAAACTGACAAAGTTCCTGGGGGAGTTCACATTTCTAACACTACCCTTGTCAGATTTAATTAGATCTTGTACCAGTTAGCCATCTATATTTTGGTTGTGTAGTCTATATAAAATACACTTGTAAGCAATCTATCAGACATCTCTACTTGTACAAAATGATATCTCGGGTCCTGATGCACAAAGCAGAAACTAAGATTGATCCAAATGTTTCTTAAAGAAGATGTACTGTCACACAAACCAATACATAATACTTTGTGATCTGAATATAATTTTTTTTTTAGAGACTGTACTTCACAGACATAGCATTATTTTGCTGTTGTATAGCATTCATAAGATTTAAAGTGACTTTTACAACAAAATTTTTATCATAGGAAGAAATAAGAGTACTCTTTTGAGGTTCCTCATTGCTGCTTAAAACACATAATTACATTCGGAGCTCATGCCCTTATTTCCTATATAGTGTTTCATGTATTCATCTTTTGCCTGGTCAGTGTTCGGGCAGAGTTCTGAATCAATGAGTATCTTTATTTGTGTAAGCAAGGGCTTAGAAGATTTTCCAGCTTTATCAGTAGCTCTTCTCCAAAACTGTTGTTTATAACATCTCAGTTCATGAAGAATTACTATTGTTTTTAATTTCTACTCTTTAAGATTGTGAAATAGTAAAAAAGCTAACATGAAGCAAAGGAAGTTAGGCTGCTTTAAAATATTTCATAGGAAGGTTGAAATGGGAACCCTACAAGACACAACGTTATTGGTTGTGGTAATGTCACAGAATACCACAGAGGCAACAATTCACCTAGATTCTAAACAACGACAACAAAAATTAAAAACAAATACAAAACCAAACAAACACAAAACCAACCAACCAACCAAACAAAACCCCATGATATTTAAGCATATAGTCTAACTTTTAATGAACAAATAATGCAAATCTTGTATACTAGAATATTTAGGCTTACTTTTGGTTACAGAAAATCACACACTAAACTGAGGCTCACAGGGAACACATTTCACTCTCTATACACACCTTATTCACTGTTGTTGTCAATGAGTAAACATGGGCTGGGGATCACTAGGGTAGAACACAGCAAAACTTGAAAGGCACATCACTATTTATTTTCAAATGAATGCTGTTTTTCCATCAAGTTCTGCTGAAAAACCTCAGCTTACATAATAGGTTATTCCATGAATATTCTTGGAAAAATCAATTAATTAGTTAGTCACAGCCTGAGGTACCTCTCAGTATACATGGTGAGTGCAGAATTTATCTCTAAATACTCACAAACTTTGGGAGAAGTTAAGCTGGAATCATCACACTGTCTCGAGGCAATACTCTTAATTCCTTTATTCCAATAAAGTACAATTTCCTGATGTCGTTGAAAGTGTCAATGGTCAGAAAGCCTCTCAAGTTCATGAGGGGCCTCTTCCTTTCCAACTGGCAGATGAAATTATGAAGTTGTTCTCTGTTTGAAGACATCATTTTCAACCATGAATATGGTTGCGTAGCATCAGTGCAAAGCATTTAAAATCTATTTTGATTCAGAAAATTTACCATTTTGAGAAAGTTTCTGTTGTGACTTTTTACTTCCTACTTTCTTTCCCTCCCACCATCCTCCACATCTACACACCATAAGAGCTTTTTGATGATTTCTACGTTCCTTTTTGTATAATAATTTTGGCAGCCCAGTCAGTAACATGAAATTTTCCTTCAGTGAGGAAAAAAAAGTAATTTTCATGGAAAATGGTTGAAGTACTTCCTGGAAATTTCACAGTGTTCATTAAGAACTGTGATGACAATGTCAGTCAGGAACAACAGGGGAAGGAGCAGAGGCAAGCTGAATTAATCTCTTGAAAAGTATGAAGAATTGGCATCCACAGAGAATTAAACTGATTGAGCTTTTTCATTATGCTCTACTGATACCTATCATGCAGTGTGACTTAGTCTGTTTTTGCAGATATCAGGTTATCCAGAATCACATGTATTGTGCCTGTATGAGTGAGTGAGAATGAGAGGGGGAGGGAGGGAGACTGTGGGACTGTATGGATTGTAAATACAACTTTTCTTCCAACTGTTTTTGCAATCTTAGTACATAAAATCATAAAATGGTCTGGGTTGGAAGGGACCTTAGTGATCATCTAGTTAAAATTAGTTTTGTACAGTTGCACAGACAGTTATAATTCTGCTAGTGTAATGACCAGGGTAATGGTCAGTCAATGCAGTGTTCTACCTGGACATGCTGTACACACTGGGGGCAGCAGCTCTTGGCCTCTCTCTAGTTAATGTAATCATATTAACTAGTAACTCTGTCTGGTTGCCTTTCAAGGCCAGAAAGAATACTTCAGACAGGGTCTAACCTCATGTGTGATATGAGACACAGAATATCCTAAAAAGAGGCAAAACCTGGATTGCTAGTCCCCTCAAAGAGACAAAAATAAGTGTTCTTCATAATGTCCTGAGAGAAAAAGCATATGACATGGCCTTTTAGTTTCTCAAAATTCTCCAAATTCTCTACAAACCCCTCACTTTCTTCGTGGTAACTCTCAACCCGTTTATAATATGTAATGTTTGACAAGCGAATGCAGTTTAGTGTCTGGTTTGTTTGTGAAACTTTTGTTCCTTGAATTGATGAAACCAGTTTTTTGTGTTGGGTGACTGGTCACTGAAGTAATAAAATGTTTTTTCTGCTTCCAGATATGGGCTTGAAACTTGTACAGTAGAAATAAAATGAATGACAGCACAGTAGAAATAATAAATTAATCTGCCCAATTAATATGTTTTATCATATCATTAATAATTCACAATTACCAAGAAGATTTTGATTATGATCGATCTGGGTAGGCATTCATGATGATGAATACAGGCATATAAAGCCAGCATTGATTGATGCAGTTTTTCGAAAGTGTAATTTTAACTTTTTTTTTCATAAAGGGACAAGGTAAGGTAGATTTAATTTATTTAGGTGAGTAAAATTGCCACTAAATCCTTTTCAGATTTTGTAGTTATGCTTCTGTACATGAAAGATGATTTTATTCTTATGTGATACTGTCTTGCCATCATGGTAAAGAGATGAGATATTTAGATGTATTCAAGTATTTATTCTATGTATGTTGTTGCCATGATGCATCAGTAATCCAGTTTATCTTAGTTCTGTCCCATGTTAAAAAAAGAGTAATAACAAAACTAACAGAAAAATATGGCGTTTTTTTCTGTTCTTTGAGATTGGTCTGCCAGCTTTCTCATAGCAACTATGACTTTTCAAAGGTTTCAATCATCTCCCAAGCCACCCAAAAACATAAGATCATTCTATTTGTTTTCTACATTATAGGTATGCAACATACAAAAAAGATCATAATATGTAGCAGAAATTGAAATTCTAAGAAATCTCAAATCTTCTTTGTGTTTTTGTTTGGTTTTGGCAGCCTGACTTACATGAGTAAAAAGTCTGTTAATAAAAATGACTGTTTTGTCTTCTAAAGTTTTGAATTTTTATTTTTTTTTTAAATCACTAGATTTCCTCCTGTTTTTTAAAAAAACTGTTGATAATTGTTTATTCTTATATTTTCTCTATAATGCATATATCTTTTCCATCTTATAACTCAGTTTAGTTTATGTTGGAAATTAGTTTTAGCTTTACTTCCTTTGAATGAGGATATAATACAGTGAGAGAGATGTCTACTGCTACCACAGCCCCTCTTTCCTTTCCTTGAAATGTAATCCAATACATTTGTTTTACTGACATGAATCTTGAGAAGGTGCCTGCTTTGAAAGAGTAAGAATTTTGTTCTAGATGATTTTACTAAATGAAAAAGCTAGAGAATTTTTCTTGCTTCTGGCTATTTAACACATGGTCTCCTCACATCCACATTCCATCTTTTGCATTGACATGCTGAAAATTACATAGGAAAATATTAATAGAATTTAACTAGTACTTTGAAGTGTTCTATATGAAATATTTTAAAAAGGAATATTTATTGTGATTATAAATCATTGGGTTTAGCTACTGATGTACTTTAAGAAGGAAAAGGACTCTCATATCAAAACATAGTTTGTAAAGTGAATACCACTCCAGGCCAATGTGTATTTTCACTGATAGTTTCAGGCCTTGTTATGTAACACATGTTTTTAGACTCTGGAAATCAGCATTTTGGATTTGCTAGAAGAATTGCCACACAATCAAAACCTATATTTTCCTAGGTATAAGAAGGAATACTGGCTGACCAAAGGCCCTAATATCTGTTTTACTATTAGGAAAATTTCAAGACATTTCAATACATTTCAGTTACAAATCATGAATTTCTAATACTTAAGCTAAAAAGTCACCTTTCTCTACCATTAAAACAGAGGAAAGACTTTAAACTGCTCTGGATCTTCTTACTCAGTTGGGTCAGCCATGGGACTCATGCAAATGTGCTTGGGCAGAGTCATATGTACAAATATGAGATAAATCCACCCACTATTGTATTCCCTCTTGGGTAGTATATATTTAAGCATGCAAGTAAGATGTCTGTGTAAAACCTTTGGTGCCTAGAAAGATCAGGAAGGATAGGAGAGGTTATTTTTCCTTTTTCTCCAAAAAAAGGAAAATCTGCTTACTGGTGTAGTCGTTGGCATACACCCTTCCCCAGACAACGGCTGGGCACTGTCTGGAAAGGTAGGAATTAGCACAGGCCACAGCTGTGCCCGCAGTGGACTGACAGCTAGGGACCATGGGTGAGCCTTCTCTGGTGCTCCATGTAGCCTTCCTGGACAAAACAGAGCAATATGGGAATATTAAAAATATCCATATAGACTACAGAAAAGTTTGAAATCAGCTGCGAGAAAAATAAAACAAGGTGAGAGGCATTTATCTAAGAAACAGATATCAAGAGCAGGTACACTCATGCACATGCATTCTTTAAAAATACAGATAAGAATTCAAATGTAATTTTGAGCCAAAGCCTAGAACTTGTGAATCAGAGTAGGAAGATGATATGTACGAACTGAGCTTAGGGACATAAAAATCTTCACAGAAGCCCACAACTGCATTATTTACTTCTGCTCTTGAATAAAAATTTATTTCTTATCTTGCTTAAGTAGACACATGGGTTTGCTCATTTTCTTGTTACTGTTCAATACACTCCCTAAAAACTGATGTACAATTTCAAATATGATTCATAACCCAACATACTACTATTAGATCCATTTCATGAGGAGAACAAGAGGATTCTCTACACTGTTAGTGATCAAGAAAGAACATCTGTGAATATGTATCTATCAGATCCAGTGTTCCTGTTTCCAACAAACAGGCTATGCTCACTGACTAATTAAAAATAGAAAAACAATTGCTTTATTTCATTTATTATTGCAAGTGTCAATATAGCAACTAAAGCATCAAAAATGTGGTGGGTGATATAGTCAACAACAGGAAAAACACTTTCTCTCTAGAAGTTTATATGAGAACAAAAAGTACACACATCGTCTAGTCTTCCTTGTCATTAATCTGTGGATAAGAAAACTTTGTAAGCAATTAAAATTGAATTTGTAATGAAAAAAAAATCGTGTTCTACAGAATGCAGTAGGCAAAAACTGCTATAAAGAGATAATCACAAACCATAGATTACTGACAAAGGCTTCACTTTATCACCTCACAGCCTTACCCATACCTGCCACTATTGCAAACAATCTAAAATAAAAGTTTTGTGATTCTGGGACTACTACATTGGAATTAATTATATAATTTAAGCTGCTATTATTGACACTCATCAAATTATAACCAATGAGATGAAACATACTGAATTCAAATCAAACTCTCATCTAGATTACTCATTTCAGGTGTCAGGGTTTTTTAATTTTCACTGCTTCAAAATTTAATCTACATTTCCTTCTTTATTAGAAACAGGTCTAGAGAGAAGAGAAATGATCAGCTGACTATATTGCTTTTCAGCCTGTGATAAAGGAAAGGTAGTTACTAAGATTTTCAGATATTCTGAATGAATACAAAAAGGAAATTTTTGTTATGTAACAACCTAGATAGCAAGTATCTAGACAGTAAATAATGTACTTCAAAACAGATAAGTGGAAAATAAAATGGGAACAAGTAAACCTCTCTGTACTCTGTCACATAGGGTTTTTATCACCTTTATAGCCTGGTTTCCAATCTATCTTCTCAGGAAACTTTTCTGTGCCCAAAAGGTTAGTGCAATTTTAATGACAAACATCATTACTCAGAAGACAAAAGGCATTAAAAATTAAAATCAGCATGTTTATTTTACTTTTCTGTTTAAATTATTATAATAATTTAATTATTGCAGCCATGGTTACACAGCATCAGATGAGAACATCTTTAAAGTCTTCCTTTTAGCTCCGAAATGTAGACATTGATTCTCACTCTGGCAGATTCACCCCCTGATCTACAGCTCTTAGTGTTCAAAAATCCTAATGTTCAGGAAACTAGTGCTGGAGATTGGATAAGGTTTTATTTGAAGGGAAGCAGCACCATCTATTGCAACCTGGTAGCTTAACTCGATGATAGAAAGAACAAAGATGGCCTGAGCCCAGTTTTCAACTCTTTCTTGCGTGCACTTTCATAAATTTGTCTTTGACTGGCTTCAAATGAGGTTATTATCTCAGTTTGTTTATGATAAGGTGCAGGGACAGGGCTGTGTTCCATGTATGCATATGTTCAATAAAAAGTCACATCTAAGAGATACCTGTTTATGAACTAAGATAATATAATAGCATAAGCCTAGTCCTGACTAACTGCTGCTTTTAAATAGCTTGACTGGAGTTTTTATTTCTGAAATGGGAGGACAGTCAAAAGTTAAGAGTTTATTTTAGCCAGGTGATATTCTCTCAAAATTTTCTTTCAGAAGCAGCATTAATGTAGGTGTGCAGTACAGTATGTTCTTCTAATAATGACAGTGCTATTGTTATCCATCTATACTTCTCATTCTTCTCTTTTTTCCAGATTGTCTACAAAGCCTGGCTGTGTTCCCAGTATTTTGAAGTCACACAGTTTCACTGCAACAACAGAATTCCTTGCAAGCAATACTGTTTGGAGGTTCAAACGAGGTGTCCCTTTATATTACCAGACAACGATGATGTCATCTACGGAGGACTATCAAGTTTCATCTGTACAGGTACAGTATAAAAAAAGTAATTTCACTTGTTTTCATAAGTCTAAATTTGATGGACTTAGCTATAACTACGAGAGCCCGAAGGTGTTCCTCATTAGAAAGATTTGTCAGAGGTGCTAGGATTTGAGCCCAGCTTTAGAAATGCACATTTACACTACACCTTGCCCATCACCAGGCTTACAAAACAAAATTGCTAGAAAAAATTTGCTCTGGTTACTTTGTACACTTAATAATTTGGTGAAAGGATTTCTGTTACTCTATGTCATGCAGTACTCAGAGTAAAGAGGCTTCATGTCATGCAATATTCAGAAGATAGAGAAAGGCAGGTGCAGTTTCTAGTATATTCACCTTCGTACACCTGCATTCTTATGTCAGATAAATGGAGAATCTGAAGTATATAGTTCAAAACTGCAGCAGCTCTCAGAACATGCATGTCTAAGGAAAGATCTTTCACTAGTGAAGAAATTTAAGAATCAATTTTTCAACTGTGAAGAACTGATCTTTTTTGTCTCCTCTGTATTTCAGTTTTAAAAGGTATTGCTAATATATATCTCAGATATCACAAAAACTTTTTTCAGGACTGGTTGGGAGTCATCTAAACAAAATTGCAGCTTATATCAATGTTATCTTCAGATTTCTGGTGCCTGGAGTATCATCTGAGAACCTTGAAGATATTCAGGCAACTTATTCCTACTAAATAAGTAAAAAGGCATTTCAACACTTAGATCATTTGACATCCCTGGTCCAAACATCGGAAGTTAGACAGCCTTCACCTCTAAATTAGGGCTGCACTGGAAATCTTGATACTAAATGAGTTGCCCAAGGTAAGCTACTTAAAAACAGAGGCAGTTATAAAATCCCATAGAGGCTATGTACCATATCAAATGCAAGTATAATGATTGTGGCAACTCACTTCATCTTATACTCTGTATTTGGATTTAGGGTGATTCTGGTAGCAAGGTATTTACTGTATTTCCCGTATTTCTTTTTGAAGCTTAAGCCTTTTGCACACAGTTGAATAATATCCATCCATATGCAAAAGACAATATAATAAAATGTGAGCTCAGTTACAATTTCGAGTCATCAAATAAGGCAATGGTGCTTAGCACTTTAATGCATTTCATAAATATTAATAACCTTCCGATATGCATAGGCAGTAAACAAATTACTATTATTTTCCAGTTTAAGATAGTATAGTAAAAGCTGAAGTAAGAGACTTATTTATATGTTATTTACCACAAGTATACAATATATAGGTGTGTGTGTTTTCATGTATATTCATGTGTACCCACTTACATACATACACAATAGCAAAAAATCAAAGAATCAACAAAATCATCTTGGCATATATTTCAGAAAATCTCTTAGGAAATACATATCCATTTTCCTACTATAACTCAAAATCCAAATTCCTTCCTAAAACACAAAAAATATATGATTTTGAAAAGATTACTGACATCTCAGTCTGAAATGAAAAAGCAATTTTGGGAGGGGATTAAACTCACTTTATTGCAGGTAGTAGTAACATGAGTATCTACACATAAACTCTGTTGCTAAGCTCTCACTAGAGTCACTAAAGATCTGGTGTAGTCAGTAGGGCTGAGAGGTATTTAAATCAGCCGAAGTAGGCACCTGCACCTGATGAGAGGACTCATTCACAGTGCTGGCTGCTCTCTATTTGCTGTATTTGCTGTCAGTCACCAGGGGTTTTTTGCAGACATTTAAAACCAGGATGACCTGAAGCTCAGCTTAGCAGTCCACTAACTAATATTTGGTTGAGCTTTTTGTCCTCTCAAATTCAGATTCTGCAGCAGCAGAGCAGAGCTTGTATTCGCAGACCCGTGGGAGTTAGTATGCTGACCCTAGGCAGTTGTGTACAAGAGAAGATGCTGAGGACAGGTACAAGGCTACAGTTCAAACTTTGTCTGGAACACAGGCCCATTTTCACCCTCTTACTAAGCAGTAGCTCACTGTATGAGTACTTCTTGCCACTAAACAATGATAAATGAAACTATTATCTGCTGTGGGACTAAGGAATTACACTTCTCTGCAGCTTAGTGAAAACAGATTTATTTCATGCAAAGTACAGTGAGTTCAACAGCAGATAAAATAGTCTACCTCAGCATAGCTTGTGGTTTGACAGATAACTTGAAATCCTTCTGCCGAAAAGCAGCTGGAAGCAGGTCACCTATGTCTTGGGGGACCTATTCTCCTGCTGCACTTTCTGTGAGCTCCCGACTGGCTGACATATTCTGGGATTTTTAGTTACTGATCTGGCTTTTCATTAGCAAAACCCAAAAGAGTAAGGTCAAAAAGTATTTCTATCTAATATTTAGGTGTCAAGTAACAGGAAAAGGTATTCAAAGGATATCTGGTTTTTTTTGATATTGACTACAGCACAGAGGGTGGGACATACATATAAATATTACATGCCATTTTCCAGTTGCAGTTAGATAGAGGCTGGCATCAGCAGCAATGCTGGGAGGTGCCCTGGCTGCACCGAGCTGCCACCTCCCCTTGCCATGCCTGTCCTGCTGCAGCAGTGTGCCAGAGCACAGAGACCCGCTGGAGGTGAGCGTATGGCAGCACTGGTGGACGAGGAACACATGTATTATTTTTTTTTTCTTTCAGGGCAGGATTTCTGTGAAGTTGGAGTCTGAAAAAAAAAAAGTATTGGAGGTTGTAAAAAGAAATAATAACAAAGGTTTTATCTTTCCTTGGAAGATCCACATGATGACAAAACATCATAGGACTGTCTATTTTCCCACAAGAAATATTGCAGTCATTGTTATCTTCGTCACCATTAAATTAAAAAGAAAAAAATTTAGTTTATAATATGGATTAATATTGAATACTTGGAAATTCCTGAAGAACTCATATAATAAGTGGCAAGTATTCTAGCCTGAGAATGTCTTAGTTGATCATCTCCAATGAAAGCAAATAGTGGGAAAGGAAGAAAGTGTGCTGCACTAGTTACATATCACCAGAACTTGTCTTTTGTAGAAATGCATGTGAGGGTGTGGAATAACTGCAGTGCAAAAGAAAGTATTTGGGAGATTAATGAAAACAAACAGAATCACAGTGTGGTTCTGATTATGGAAATATGCAATTCATTAGAAAGAATTTTGTGTTCCACTCTTGCACCCTTGCTTCCAGGAGAAGGAAGGAAAGAAATTGATCCTTCCATCAAGCACTATTCTGGAACCTACTGGTTTTCATATTCATTAGAATTGAGTGATTGCTTTCAGTTTAGACCTTTGGCGTTCATATCCATATGATTAAAGTTTACAGTGGTTTAGATGAAACTGAAAGATGTCTCTTTCTACATCTCAGCTGTCTAGAATTGCCCATGCAAACCAGAGTGTTATTTAATGGAAATAACTAGAGTTTAGGCACACGTACACACACACACACACACACATACACACACACACACACAGAGAAACACACAAACACATATGGCAGATTACAATGAATTAGCCCCATGCAAAGTTCCAGGTCAGGGTTTTTGATTGTAACTTCTAAGAGAAAAATGTGCATACCAGTGGGATTCTTTTCAGTCGTAGATGTAGTCATCTCTTCCTTTATTTTTTTTCCCAGCTTCAATGGAAGATGTGGCAGATTTCTTTAACACATGGTCTTTCAGTGAGAAAAGAGAGTTGAAAGGCTGTGGTGGGCTGACTCTGGCTGGACATCAGGTGCCCACTGTTAAGGAAACTTTCCAGTCTGACCATTCACGAGACTCTCTGGCAGTCAAACTCCCAAGGCCAGAGACTTTAACTGCTGTGTTCGAAGCCCCTTCTCAGCAGGCAGCTCCAGTGAGCTGATAGGTGTTTTACTTGACTCCCCACACACCCCACTCACATGCAGTCAGACCAGGTTTCCTTATTGATTTGACCCCAGGCTTCCCATTGTAGAGTCTCAGATGTCTAGCTCCATAAAGTGCAGTAACACAGAAACAGCCCAAGCTGTTGCCTCTGAGGAGGACCCCCAGCAAAGGAACCCCTGGGCTTTTATACCCTCACAGTCTACCCATGCACAAGGCTGGCTCTTCCTCATGAGTCTTCCATTCCTGCTGTGTCTCTCAGTGTCCACCCTGGCTAGCACCACCAGTTTGTGCCTTTTGTTGACCAAAGGGCTGGCAGTTCACAGCCTCTTTTCTCTCTGAGTTCCCACCCAGATCTCAGTCTGCATCCCGAACTGCACCTTGCAAACCGAACTACCTGCACCAGATATATTCTTCAATACCCACCAAAGCCACTCTTTCACTCCCCTCTACAACTGGATAGGGGAGAGGAAAAAAGAAAGGCTTATGGGTTGAGATAAGGATGGGGAGAGATCACTCACCAGTGACCATTATGAGCAAAACAGGCTTGACTTAGTGAAATTAGTTGAATTTATTACTAATCAAAATCAGAATAGGAGGAAGAGAAGTAAAGCATACATTAAAAATACCTTCCCCCCACTCCTCTCTCCTTCCTAGGTTTAATTTTATGGCTGATTTTCTACCTCCTCCATCACAGGATCGTAGGTCTTACCAGTAAACCTGCCCTAGTTTGGCGACCTTTCTCCATGTGTCTGCAGGTCCCTGCCAGGAGCCTACTCCAGCACAGGCTTTCCTGTGGGGTCACAGCTTCTTTCAGGCATCCACCTGCTCTGGTGTGGGGCTACTCCACAGGCTGAAGGTCTCTGTTCCCCTGTGGATCTCCGTGGGCTGCAGAGGCACAGCTGCCTCACCGTGGTCTTCACCACAGACTGCAGGGGAATCTCTGCTCTGGCGCCTGGACCACCTCCTTCTCCTTCTTCTTCATTGACCTTGGTGTCTGTAGAGCCATTGCTCTCACATATTCTCTCTCCTCTTTCCTCTGGACACAATTATTTCTGTATAATAACCTTTTTTCTTCTTAACTGTGTTATCCCAGAAGTGTTACTGCTATCACTGATTGACTTGGCCTCAGCCAGTGGGGGGTCCATCTTAGAGCTGGCTGCAATTGGCTCTATTG